CAAAAGCTCAAATATGAGTTTTTAAGTTCTTTTTAAGGGTGCAACATTTACTTAATCCTGTCTTTCAGTTCAGATTGATGAAGTCTCTGCTAATGTGTGCATAGTAAAGATACATTCATGGTTTCAATAGCCTGACTGGAATACAGCAGCCTGTCTCAAAAAGTCTAGCCCCCCAACACCCACCACCTCATCCAGAATAAAAGCCTATGATGCTTTAAATCAACCTGTTCTGCAACATTTCAAACAGTGAGAGCTGTGTGAGTAGTTAGTCATTTGCAGACCTCTGTAACAATGAGGCAAGTGAGCGAGTATTATAACAATAATACATTTTACAGAGATTTCCAAATGTAAAGTTTGAATGCCTCACAATAAGAACTCAACAACCAGCAACATCTTTTTCTTTCACAATTGTTCTTAACTTTACATCCATTTGTTAGGATAATATCCATCTTCCTTAATGAATACTTGCGCTAAATTAACTTCTATAGAGATGCTTTGCCATTCTTCAGAGCACTTTGCTGATTGTCTTGCCAAACTGATCACCTCAAATGAACCAACCAAAGTGCACTTAGATTCAAGTCAGGCAGCATGTTTGTCTTGATTAGAAACTGGATTCTGGCTGGACTCAAATCCCTTCTATGCTGCCAAGTCTCTTAAAACCAGGTCTCTCTTGTAAATGAGTCCCCGAGGCTCAGTGAGATTAACCTGTATAAGTAAAGGTTGAATAAAAAAAATAATAATTGCCTCCTCTTGGCTGTCAGTTAACTCAAGTTCTCCATTTTGGTGTTGTTAGGTGGTATTTTTATTTTACTGGTTTAACAAGTGTTATGCCAATGTCCCTTATCGCTGAAGAATTTGAATAGTGAATGTTTGTAATTAGATAAGCATTTTTCTGGACTGGAATTGAACAGGGAATGTAAGTTAACCTTAACGTTAAGTTACACTGTGTATAAGAATAAATATAGATTTTTTTTTTCTTGCCTGAGGTGGTGCTAAGTGAAGGACACTAGAGAATGAAGGGAGCAATTTTATCCAGCACTAGGTGCAGAGACAGAGCCAGGGGGTGGCCATTGGTGGTCTTGTCTACTCTAGATTAGCACAAGATAAACCCAAGAGTAAATGTTAGACTACTAGAATCCAAAGTCAATCAAAAAGGTGTGTTTCCACCAGACTTTTCTATCAGCTCTCAGTCTGAGCAGATCACAGTGAAGAGTTTCATAATAATGACACGATGGAATCTGTGTATTATACACTTGAGATTTGAGCTGAATTATTTTTGAATCTAGTGAACACATAATTGCTATTTTGTCCTGATTAGAGCTCCGGAAGTAACAAAAGTGAACTTTCTCTCTTCTGAAGGTCTGTTTGAACTCAAAATTCCAGTGTCTGAAACCAGGAGAGGACTTGAACACTGCCCGTAAACACACTTCTGAACGTAAGTTGTCTGGTCAGGTACAAATCATTTTGAACTTGAGACGTTTGTAAAAAAATAATCCCAAAAAACAACCCCCCCCCCCCACACACACACACTACCATTAGGTGAAGGATTTACTACAGTATCTACTGTCTTGTCTGTTTATTGGCAAGGCCAGGAAAATGAGGATATCTTTTATGGAAGATAAAACATGAGCTTGTAGAGCAGGTTTATTGTGTAAAACTTGTGAGAGACCACTTAGAAAACAGTGCCTCATCAGAGGTCCAGTTTGATTTCAGTCCGATCATCAATTATTTTAAAAATGACTCAAAACCAGTGGTCTTCAATTTAAATTCAGCAAGGTCTGCTGGTTCTAGTCAAAGTCCAGAATGGGCAGCAGCTGCCTCCTATCAGTGAGCAGGTCGCCCCGGTTCAAATCCGGTCTGGGGGCTGTTCTGGGTTGAGTTTGCATGTTCTCTCCGTGCATGTGTGGGTTTTCTCCGGGTACTCCAGTTTCCTCTCACAGACCAAAAACATGCATGTTAGGCTGAATGGCAACTCTAAAGTGACTACTGGACATGGGTACCATTGACCCCCACAACCTGAAAAGGAAGAAGCTGGTAAAGATAATGGATGGATGTCCAGAATGAATACTTAAATGGTTCTTCACTTCACTGGTTTTCTTCACTCACCATATTGCCTCTTCACTGGCCTGAAATACAGGGCGGCTGTGGCTGAGTGGTTAGAGCAGTCGTCCTCCAATGCAAGAGTTGGGGGTTCGAATCCACCAGCAGTCACATGCCAAAGTGTCCCTGTGCAAGACACTGAACCCCTCATTGCCTCTGATGTGTGTCCCATTGGTGTATGAATGTGATAAAGCTCTGATTAGTCTCTTTAGAATGATTTGTTCAATTAGCTTTGTATAAATCTAGTAGAGTGCTGTATGAATGGGTAAATGAGGACACAGATTGTTGTGTAAAGCGCTTTGAGTGTCTTGATCAGAGAGAAAGGTGCTACATAAGTACAGTCCATTTACCATTTACTGGGAGCAGAGTGAAACCACAGACCAGACCTCATAATAAAAATTACCAGGGTGCGGAGGAAGATGAGTCGACGATGACGTCTGTTGTGACTTTATAAATAAACTGAACTGAATCAGTTATAGACACAGAGAGAAAGAAAAAGTGTTTTTTTTTTCTGAATTCTGAGAAACAAAGTCAGAATTCAGGAAAAACAACATTTACATTGTTGCCCTAATCATCCTCTGTACCAGGAAAATCTTGGCTAGTAAAAAAATAAACCCCAATACAAAATATGTATATCTGCTGAAACAGAAGAGCAGATCTGTGTCCAGAAAATACTTTTATTTGGGTCCGGATCTGGACCTCAGTCCACCTGTTGGGGATCTTAAGGAATACAGAGTAAAATAAAACTGAAAAAATTAAAAAAATCAAGAAAACCAACAAGATTACAAACAGCACATGAATTGTGTTTTTATTTAAGAAACAGTAGGTGAGGGGAGAGTCTGTCCAACTGGGACAGAGGAACATGAAGCTCATTCTGTTTGTTGATCTGGTTTTAGAAATGAACACAACTTAAAAAATGGAAACCAACATAAAAAATGGTATCATTACTTAGAGTCCTTTCAAAAGCGTAATGGTAAAAACAAAAAAATCCTAAAAGCAGCGTCTGATTCTGGTGAATCTGTGAAAGAGCACGGTGCACGCACACACACACGTGCTTTAAAAGTCCAATACCTGGACCAAAGCGTTGACTCGTCAGTCCACGTGCTCACGATGATGTCGTTCTCTACATTCAGGGCCCATAAGACTTTTTTCATCAAGTGACGAAGAATAAGACCAGTTTTCACTCATATGAGCAGGCAGCTTCAATTTGGGGTGCTTTGTGAAAAACCATGACTGAATGGGGCCTGATCAGTCAAACATGATGGTGGGAGAGGGGGTGAGCGGCAACATACAATACAGCAGTGGTGGGGGAAACGAGCGAAAATAAAACAGCGTGAAATAAATATAGCTCCTCAAAGCAAAATGACTGTGCTCACTTTAGAATAAACAATTTTGAAGCTAATAAAACGTTAAAAAAAAAGATTAGTGGACCTAACAATGAGCGTGGAGTTGTGCTTTGCCATGTGGTCGACTAAAAGTGTGGGAGCATGCTGTTCCAAGAGCGACACCGCAGCTCACAGCAGCCTGCAGGGGGGGCTTCCTCTGCGTTCACCCAAACAACAAACCCAGCTGAGAGTCCGTCTGCAGAGAAAACAACGTCCAGAACCACAGAGCCGTCAGACTGTTACTGTGCTGTCGCTAAAGCTACCAAACCTGGAAGTTCTGTAAAAAACCAAAAACAAAGCTGGAGGCAGTTCTGGGCTGGCTGCTCCTGAGGACACACGCGCACACACACACACAGCTTAATGTGGAGTGATCTGTGAGAAACAGTGCTCAAACATGCATAATGAACTAAATGACGTTGCACACGCACAGTTATCTTCCTGACTGGCAGATAGTTTTACACATAAAACAATATATTCAACAATCACACATAAAAAATACTCTATTTTCAGTTCCAGCTCCTTTTTGAGATCTACTCAATCCAATCAGGCCATGGAGGCAACGAACCAGTCAGACCAATGAGACAACTGGTTTAGATTGTCTCATTCAGCCAAAGCACTAAAAACACACGTCTACATGTAACAGACAGGTGAATGTAGCATCTTCATGTCTGACATTAGCACCAAGGGTTCTTTCTTTCATTAAAAAACAACAAATACAGAGAAGACACACCAGTGTTGTGAATTATTGGGTTCAAAAACAGACAAACGTGGAACATTTACAGTTTGTCACTCGTATTTTGCATCCTGAGTTGTGTACTGAAGCTGCATGCGACTGTGAGCGTGTGCACTCCTCTCCCAACTGATTGATGAAAGGTTTTAGGCATGCTCTCAAGGAAAGGGTTTATGTAGAGAAGTGATGAAAGAAGGCCTAAACATCTTCAAGTATTGTTACAGTCAGGCCCGTCAAAGCCTCAGACACAGTAGAAGAACCCAGAAGAAGCAGAAGAGCAGTTTTATGGTTAGTTTGCATGTTTTCCCCCTGAAATATAATATATTTATTCATATGTATATAAATAAAAAAATTCAGTGCTGTAAAAACCTCTCCCACTCCATAGGATCGGGCCCACTGAAGAAGGCCTAATAAGTCTTAATCTTCTCGTGGCTAAAGTACTTCTGATGGATGAAAAGTGTACTAGCTGTCCGTTAGGAGTCCTTCATTCAGAAAACAATACTGTGGAGGAGCAGAGTTGTTAATATTGTAAAAAAAATATTTTGTTTTGGTTTAACTGCACACAAAGAAAAGCATCATTTTCAATTGTTTCGATTTTTTCTGTGATGTTTTTTTTTTTTTGGTAGCAGCAAAAGCACCAAATTTGTTTTAGGCTCTACGAGTGTTAAGTCTCTCTGAGTGAGTCTGCAGTGTGTGTAGGTATGACATCACTCCATAGTCTCTGTGTGTGTGTGGTGTGTATGCATGTCTATGAGGAGCAGGGCTGAACATTGGTGCCATGAGCAGCGTGGGCTTGAAGGTCGATGGCCCGGGCCTGCTGCAGTTCTGGCCGAGCGTTCATCAGCGACAGGTTCCTCACGCAGCCCGTCATTCCTGATGAAAACTTCCCTCCTGTCATGGCAGCCATGTCTGGGGCTCCACCTGTGTATGAGAGAAGGCATAAACATTTTTAACAGACTATCTTTTTATGTTCACCCAAGAGTTGAACAAATAATCTGAAATACCCATGCTGCGCCACTAAATGGACGAGGATGTTCAAAATACAGAGGAAGAAAAATCTGAGCTTGGCTAAAAATTCTCCCAAAACTAGTTTTTTTCTGTTTTACAGTTTACAGTTTTATTACAAATATTGACCATTTTAACACACGGTCAATGCTCATTGGAGACAGGATCAAAATAAAGCAGCAAACTGGTAGAAAAAAACTGGTAAAAAAACTTAAAAAGGCTCCAATTTTGTTTAGGTTTCTGGGACACAAAGTGATAGTGAGCATGCAGAACAAAGGTTGTTATGTCATCATTTCAGTAACAAGTTTCATATTTTATGTCCACATGGAGACACCAAAGATGGTTCTTGTGTATTTTCAGTTTAAAAAAATATTCACTTTGGAAAGCCAGTTTAATTTTCTCATTTTTTCATTCATTCAACCTTTATTTAGACTGGTTAATCCCATTGAGCCTCAAGGACTCATTTACAAGAGACATGATTTCAACAAAGAATGATGACAACAGCGACAACAGTAGACAGTTATAAAAAGGCATACAGATTCTTTTTTTTTTTTTTACAACTAAGATGGCAAAAAAAGTCATAATTTTAATATCAAAAAGTCTATACTTAAAACAGGAGACAATCCTGCATTTATAAAATATCTAGTCTGTTAGAGGTCTGAAATAAACATTGTAAACTAAGAAAACAAATGAATACAAAATAATAATAATAATAATAATAATAACAGTTGAAGTAATAAAAATAAATGAAAGTAACATTAGTAACAAGTTTGCAGTGTATGTGGAAAACGTTAGCAGATTTTTACAAACGTTGCCTGTTTGACCAGTCAGCTTGTTAACTAAAACCTGAAAGTTACAGAAACTCAATGCAGTAATAAAAAAAAAAAAAGAGTTAAAAATTATGAATTAGCTTGAGCTTGACTGCTCAGGAATTAGCATTAGCATGAAAAGCTTCAGCTAACATTGGTTTCAGCTTAGCTAGCTGTTTGTTTTCCTCCCAGCTGACACTACATCGTCTTTTTACTTTTATAATTTATCAGTTCTGTCAAGGGAATGTGTTTTATTTGCACTCACCATGCTCTATAATTTCCACTGCTCTTTTCCAGTTTTATTTCTGAATGATATGAAAATGTTCTATGATCTTTATTCTATGTGTCAGTCTTCATGGGACTGATCAGTAAAGGCAAGAGATAATTCTATTATCCTCAAGCTCTGATTGATATGATTACAATGACGTCTTTCTTCGAGAGTCTTTGCGAGCTGCTGCAACCAGATTTCATTCAAGCTTTATTTAAACGGGTTAATCCTGTCCTCCCGCTTCTGTCTGCAGCTCGATTCTGATAAAACTGGACAGGGTGGGGAGGACATGGAAGTTTCTACAAAACTGATTTTTTTCTGTTCAGGAAGTCAGAACGGGTCAGAGCCTCAGACAGGCGAAGGTATAGATCCTCTGTGATTGCTGGCTGCTCTCCAAAGCTTTGTAATAAATCTGATAAAGATCACACCTGGTTGTTTTGGGAATCGCTTTTGTCCACGACAAGTTCTACAAGTACTTTTTTATGAATGTTGTTGTATGTGAAGTTTTTTGAGTTGTTTATGAAGTTTTTATGCATTTCATTTGAGTTTGTCAAAAAAGCTAGTTTGCCCACCGAGGTATAAACTGCCTTTGGTGTTGACCATGATGCTGCTGCCTTTAGACTGTCCGTGTAGCATGTCTCCTCCATCAATCTGGATAAATCCATCTTTTCCAGTTCTGCAAGGAAAAAGCAACACAGACACAGTACAATTCAACTTAAACTGTTTAACACACCAACAAATAAATGTAAGGACTTGGGAAATGTTTGAAACTGCACCTACAAATAAACAGGACATTTTCATACAACATTGAATACATTAACATTAAGAGATTACTTTCCCATTTGTTGTAGATGGCCCTTTGACTGGCCTCAGTTTAAACCAGTACACTCTAGAGCAGCTCATGTTCTTTCATAGATCTTCACCATCATACAGTTATTTACACAGAACTCTACACATTTAGAAGCACAACAAATGGTGGCAGCAGTGAGCTGCTGTAAATCCTGCTTTTTATATGTAGCTAGAGGTGCTGCACACCCAATCAGAAGGAATCCCCCCCCCCCCCCCCCCCACACACACACACGAGTAAAGTGTAATTTGTGTGTGTCCACATATCACAGTGTAAGGATGGTACCATTTGCTGGTTCTGTTTGTGTCTGTGTTTCCC